TGGGCCTTAACCCACTATAAATAGGGAAATTGAAATGCAGTTGTCTCATTGTCCTGACGAAGCTGAGTGATGATAACGCCCATCGGACGAAACGCCGTTTGACCGTCATACCGTCAGAAGCGTCCGTCTATCCTCCGGACATCATGCGCATTAGGTTGGAACGCACGCTGACCCCACAAGGAGGACAGCCATTTTCACATGCCATGAGCCAAGCCTAGCAGCACAAGGGCGCCGAGAAGAGGCTGGAGCTCCCGCGGTATATCGGCGGATGTCAGCAGGTGAGCTCCCTGGCCTCCTCTGGCCTTGTATGGCAGTACCTAAGAAGGATATTCTTTCCTCTCCTATTATCCATTGCACAGGGTGTGAGTGACTGTCGCGGGACACTAGATATATATGTCCTATTGTGACATATATGACCTCTATATAATCCTATATAGAGTGTAAGCTCTTTCAGTGACTTTTCCACATAATTGTCTGTTTTCACTACAGGCATGGGGACATCATGGTGCCTTGGTATAGGAAAACAAGATATACCACATTGTATTTCAACAGGCAGAAGATCTATTGGTATGTGTTCTTGTTTTTCTCACAGAGAAAGTGGTATGTAGTCCACATAATAGTGGTGAAGAAACCATTTCAAGCAGTGCGCTGCTTTATGCATCTACCCTTCCATCCTGGAGTAAAAATGGGGCATATATTTTTCAAGAGCTCTAGGAAACAGCTGGTAATCAATCACAGATGAATGGGCCCCAACCACTTGTGCCGTCATAGGAATGTACTGCATTATTTACATGACATTTATGTTTTGTGTTTCATATAGGCCTAGAGGCATGCCTTCTTTTTTTGACGCATACTGTGCATGCCGTACTGCATACATGTGATATTTATATCTATGGTATAAACTTTTTTGAAACTCCCTGTTTGGGATATAACCACTCCTGGTAGTAGCATAGTCTACATATTTATAACACGAGTTATGGTAATCCCTATATGGTAATCATATTTTTTGTATACACCCATCCCTATGGGAAGTGTTCACCTATGCGCCAGTGCCACAGGGACTTTAGATTCTTGTAGTCATTGTCCTTTTTGCACAGGTATTTAGACCGGTAACTGGAGTCATTTTATATATGGTTTAAGGTCTGTGTGTATTGTCTCATACTGAGGTGATGGTAAACCAGGGCGATTGCCCATATGTCAAATTTGTATGTGTAATAAAGCATCATTTTTGGAAATTTTTCTGAGTATCACATTCTGTTCATAATGTAGCCGCTTTCTTTGTGAATTTCTTTTCACAACCTCTCTTTTTTTGTATGCCATTTTTGGCTACTAGACGGGGGCGGAGACCATTTACTGGTGATACGGTAATTTATTGTACGACCTCTTAATAACTATCTCTTAAACAGGTGGGGTAGGCTTCCCCATGAAGAGACGGGTTTTCAGGGTGTGCCTAAAGGAGAGGAGAGTAGGTGATAATCTGATGGGTTGGGGCAGGGAGTTCCAGAGGATGGGTGACACCCTGGAGAAGTCCTGGAGGCGGGCATGGGAGGAGGAGACCAGGGAACTAGAGAGAAGGAGGTCTAGTGAGGAGCGGAGTGTGCGGTGCTGGGCGGTACTTGGATATTAGGTCAGTGATGTAGTTCGGGGCAGTATGGTGGACAGCTTTGTACGTCAGCGTTAGGATTTTGAATTTGATCCGTTGCGCAAATCGAAGCCAGTGGAGGGATTGGCAGAGGGGGGTGGCGGAGACAGAGTGGTTAGAAAGGTGAATGAGTCTGGCAGCCGTATTCAGGATCGACTGAAGCGGGGATAGCCAGCGGCGAGGCAGGCCAGTGAGGAGGGAGTTGCAGTAATCGAGTCGTGACATGATGAGGGAGTGGATGAGCTGTTTAGTGGTTTCAGGGGTTAGGAACGTGCGGATTTTGGCGATGTTGCGGAGGTGGAGTCTGCACGAGTTTGTTAAAGATTGGACTTTACAAGCGATCGCCGAGTGCCGGCAGGGAATCTCCGGCCAGGACTCGGTGATTGACATGCCTCCAATGGTGGCATGGGTAGGGCCATGTGTGCACCCCCCTATCCAGAGATGCAAATCACGTGTATATATATATATATATACACGTGATTTTGCGCAGCCCTGCCGCGCCGCGCTGTAGCAGTAGTTCTACTATAGGGCTATAGGGCGACGGGCAAGCGAGTAATAATTAAAAGGTCAAAATGGTGCAAATAAAATATTTTACAAAATCAAAGATATATACAAAGTAACAGAGAAACAAGCAACAGCAAGACAAGAGGTGAAATAAGGTAAATACTTGCAAATGCCTTGAATTTAGCAGAGCAAGTTGTTATCGGCTCTCATAACTTAACAGATGTGCCTTGGTTGATGGTACACAAGAGCTTGTCAAACTGTCCTGGCATTCCCTTTTTTCCATGGTATCAAAGGAGTGCTGACATGAACCATCTGACCTTTTAAGTGGCTAAGGAGTGGCCATATGGGTGTCACCATGTTTATATCTCATGGCCCTCCATTACAAACAGCTGTATACTAAAAATAATATATCTTTCACTATGTACAGGTTGCATTTTGGAAACAGGTAGATTATTGTTCAGCATTATATTTTGTGTCCAAGGATATCAAATACAGTATTTTCGAAGGGCCTGTCACCCAGGAGCCATCTGACGGCTATCTAACCTTCTGTATACTATATCTTAGCCATGTATGATCTTCATTTGTTTGATATTCCCCATTCAAATATATACTTAATATTGGTGTGTCTTGGTCCTGTCTGCTTTTTATGAATTGTGTGTAGTTTTGAAGTGTTGATTTGGGCAGGAAGGGGGTCTCCCAAAGGTCACTGCAAGCCTGACCGCTTTACAAACCCCATTTTGATGGCACGCTATGTGTTCCTAGTGCCATAAATTAATTCCTAGTTAATTGACCTACAAACCATGGCTGACAGAACTGAAGGGTTTTTTCATAGGTTTACAATAGGTCAGTGAGAAGTGTTAATCTGTAGGGTTTTTTATGGTCAGTAGAAACTAACCAACATCCTGCCAGGACTTCAATTAGCTGTTCACAGCTCTGTCAAAGGCATGTGTGCTGGTGTCTGCTGTCCCTAAGTTGGGAGAACAGGCTCTTTTGAAGTGTGTTAAAAGTTAAAGCTATGAATTACACGGACTGCAGGAGGAGGGAGGGGGTAAGATAACTGAGCTATGCCTCCTCTTATGACAAAAATGGCTGAGACCTGAACAAGAACATAGGACTCATTCTTTTCTGGTAGGGTGGAAGAAGGTACTCCTTATTGGAAATCCATGGTATGCATGTATCAACTCAGTATGGTACAGTATGTGAGAGACATATTTCTAATATAAGTGAGAACACAGGGGGAACATAGCTGCTCCGCCATTTTTCTTGTGTTAACTGCTTTCCCGCTGCCGTATAGCAGAAATACTGCTACAGGGCAGCAGGGTTGCGCAAAATCACGTATATACGTGATTTTGCATTTCAGGTAAGGGGCGCTCGCGCCCTACCTGCACCACCACTGGCGGCCTCAGCTGTCGATCACCAGGTCCCAGCCAGTGATTCCCCACTGGCACCCGGCGATCGCCAGGTATCATTGACAGGGGAGAAACCTGTATGTAAACAATACAGATCTCTCCCCTGTCAGCTCCTGCACATTGCTTTTTATTGCTCTGCATAGCAGAGTAATACAAAGCAATGCACTTACACAGTGAAACACACATACAGCACACAGTAAAACAGCACACGGTTAACCTATTGATCACCCCACATGTTAACCCTTTCTGCCCAGTGCCATTAATACAGTGTCAGTGCTTTTTATTAGCACTGATCACTGTGTTAGTGTCACTGGGGATGTCAGTGACAGTCAGTTCCCCCCCAGTGTCATAATGCTTGCCGCAGTCTCGCAATAAGTCGCTGATCGCCGCCATTACTAGTATATATATTTAAAAAAATTCCAGTATATATACCGCCATTTGTAGACACTATAACTTTCACGTAAACCAATTAATTTACACGTATTGGTATTTTTTTTTTAGCAAAGACGTAGCAGAATACATTTTGGCCTAAATTTAAGACAAAATTTGATTTAAATTTGTTTTACTGGACAAGTTTAATAGCAAAAAGTCAAAAATATTGTTTCTCAAAAGTGTCTGTCTTTTTTTGTTTATAGCGAAAAAATATAAATAAAACTAAATAATAAATAAAAAATAAAAAAATAAAAAAAAATAAAAAACAAACAGGCAATCAAATCCCATTGAAAGAAAGCTCCATTTGTGGGAAAGAAAAAAAGGACATAAATTTAATTTGGGTGCAGTGTTGCATGACCGCACAATTGTCAGTTAAAGTAACGCAGCGCCATATCGCGAAAAATGGCCTGGAGAGTAAGGGGGGTAAAGTGCTTAATCCCTCTTGTTAAAGTGTAACTCCAAATTCATGAAGCATTTGCAACGCTTTTGGTTCTGACAGTGACTCATGCACTAAATGCAGACAGTTCTAAAATGTGCCACTTTTACACACTAAATGAGCCAAATTGAAAATAAAATACCAGTGCTTCAAATCTTACAAAAGCGATACTAATTAAGACCAACCGTTTTTTTTCAGTACAGACAGAGAAACTGGTAGAGACAGATTTTGTGAAAGTGTCTTGTGTGCATTCTAAACATGGTACAGCCTGCATCAAATTCAAGTACAAGTTCTACACAGGTACAGGAATTTGTTGCATTTTGCACCACTTTTAGAACAGAAGAGACACTTGGTCGCAAAATCTGTCTACGCCAGTCTTTATGAAATCCAGGGAGTGTGTTTCAGTCCCCGCTGGCATCACCCCTAAGCCCACAATTTTGTATACCAGGACATATTTGATTGCATTCAGCTGCAAATGAAAAGTACACATAACAAATATCTCAAGTTCTTTATACTGTATGTGCAAACATTTTTATAGCCATGTTTCTTAATACGCTAAGTACCCCCTTATACTTACATCTCCCAGAGCACGCTCTAAACAAGATGTCATCTTCATCAACAGTAGGGAAGTCTTTGTTCCAATCATGCCTTTTAGTATGGTAGGTACACTGAGAAACAACTGAGAATAATATATTTGCATATGATAACTGTATAATATTAGCCAGGGATGGAAATGAAACAAAGAAACAGTGATTTTTTTTCATGACTGGGGAAGAATTAGAAGCTTTGTTATATTTTATATCGTGACCCCCTCCCCCCAGGAATATTTCTCCCCACTACTTGTATGATCACCGGGACAGGTAGTGAAAGCAGTATTAATTCCAAAAAGAAACATATAATATATTGCAGCTTACCAATCCTTAGATGTGGTGGCTGCATTAGTTTCTTTTTACATTTATATTCACCTGGCGGTCTGTCCAGTAACACACTTCCTATCTTAGGATGTCTCCAGTCCGGATAAAGTAGTAAAGCAGACACCTTTGGACAACAGCATTGTCAGTGCAGGGGGAGGGGAACATTAAAAAAAACGAGCAGATTAAAGTCGGCCATAGACAATAAGATTTTCTTTCCTACAACCTTGGGTTGCAGGAAAGAAAATTGCTTCATTCCCCCCCACCAACAGTCAGCAAAGCTACCGTGTTCTCCAAGCAGGGAGCCACTAATGCTGGGAGAACACAGTGATTATTGCTAGTGGCTATAGCCACTGACAATAATTGCATGAAAAATCCCACAGGTTGGTTGTACTCAAGTCATACAACAATTGAATTGGGTACAATCACCCTGCCCATAGATGGTTTGAATCTCAGCCGGTCCCAGCTGAACCGGCAGATATTCAAACCATCTAGGCCGGCTTAAAATGGACTTGACTAACAAATTCAGGCTGAACTCCAGCTAAAAAGAAATGGGTATACACCAGTAGATTTTCATACAAAAAAGTAATGCGAATATTCAAAACGAAAAATTCTCAGTACATTCGACAGCTTGACAAAATTTCACTAGAAAATAATTCTAAATTTTGTTTGTTTTTGACATTTGATTTTGGAGTGAATGTACTTCCCAATCAAAAAAACTATACTGTTAGGAATTTGTTTGTGAAACATTTTCCACCCTTCAAAATTTTCTCAATACTACTCATTACTGTACTGCGGTTGAAAATGAACATCGATTTAACCCTATTAAGAATTAGAAAATCAAATGACGTTCTTAAAAAAAGAAAAATTTCCATACGAAAACCTACTAGTTTATACTCAGCTAACACTTTATAAGCAGTTACAGCAAACCATTTTTTCCCCCTTTTAGAATAAAAGCTTTTACATAAATGAAGAAAATTGTAAGCACCCCTCTCACTGTTAAATGGTTTGTCTTAGCCCTCTAACTACCACTTTTGCGGGACAGCCTGGTCTGTTAAAGCAGTAGTAAACTCATTTATTAAAGGATAAGTTCACAGTTTGACCAAAAACAATAAATGCACATTTTTCTGCAGGTAAAAATAAATGTGCACGTCTTATTTTTGGTTGCAGGAGCCTGTAAAGCATTGCACCAGCGATCAGTAAATCGCTGGTCCCATACAGGTCTCCTGTAGACTGTCAGTGTATCTGCTTGCTCGTATGGGATGTACGAGCAAGCAGATATACTGACAGGAAGATTCAATTAACTACCATGATGCTCCACAGCGACGTGGTAGTTCATTGAGAACTACAAGCCAACAGCTGCTAAGGCTGTTGGAACTTGTAGTTCACTCATTCACAAAACATTGTGAATGAATGACGAGGATGTGTGGGCTGAGCCCCACACGGCCGTGCGGTTTTTAAAATGTGACAGCTTCTATGGGGAACTTCTCTCCATACTGCTGTCACGGGGGGGGGGGGGGCAACGAGCAGCAGCTGTAGCACTGGGAACATGTTACATATTTCAACCTTAAAATCAGCTGTGGAACATGCAACATGTTCCCAAAAGTGAACTTACCCTTTAAAAAAAAAAAAAAAAAAAAATCTCCCTGCAAGTTAAGAGCATAATGTGCTGATATGCATTGAATGCTAGCACATTATGAAATACTTACCTAAAACAAAGCCCTCCAGCGGCGCAGTGCCACCGCTGAAAGGGTTTACATCTTCACTCGGTCTTCCTTCCTGGGTTTGTGGGCTCTGGCCATTTGAACTGCCAAGCCGCGATGTTATCACTCCCAAGCATGTAAGTTAAAGCCGCGGTACAGAGCTCTGAAGAGACGGCATGAATACATGAATATGCTGTCCCTTCAGAGTGCTTCTGCTGGTTAAGTCACTGGCTGGAGAAACACTAAATATCTCCTAAACAATGCACATTTAGGAGATACTCCTTGTACCTACAAAGTCAGCTTTATAAGTGTCCAAGCGGTGTTTACTACCCCTTTAAACTAATTTGAAAAATAACAGGATTTACTGGCTGGATCACTAGGTAAAAATAAAGGAAAACTGGAAATCTTTGCAAGAGGGACAAACATTTTAAAATTCTGATAGAATTTATAACTCTTTCCTACACTACTCAGAACAAAGAAAAATAAACGGTTTGCTGCAGATAGGCAAACTATAGACAGTGCCTGTATAAACTAGAGTGTGAATAAAACCAATCACAAGAGCTGATATTTGTGGTGCCACCAAAAATAATTTAATCAAAAATGCAAAACTTCCTGACTTCTCACTGAGCTTGCAGAGTTAAGGCCTCATTCACATTGGATGTTAGGTCATCCCTCCTAGACACCTTTCTTCCTGGCAGCAGCATTTTGTCAGAAAAAAAAAAAGTTGTGTCAAGCGCTTCGACACTAATTAATTTCATTGGCCATAATAATAATTTATTCTGGCCATTGAAATGAATTAACGGTCAAAAGCTAAATGTGCCTAGCGGTAACATGCATTTAGACCTGCCAAGTGTTTTTGATGCCAAACGCTTCTTCTCCTTGATGTGCTGGTAGTGGGTTTTTGTTTCTGCCTCTAAATGCCTGCAGGGACTTTTAGGCTACGTTCACACTAGCGTTGTGTGCAGGCGGCAGAGAGGCGTTTGGGAAGCGTTTTTACCGCTTCCCAAACGGCTCTGCCAATTCTGCACATTACAGCACATGATGCTGTTCTAACGGGAGCGTTTGCGTCACGTCGCGGCAAAAACGGACGCCTCTGGTCGAGTCAGGAGGCGTTGAAGCCTCCTATTCTCATCTATGGTGCCGCTCCGCAAACGCCCCCGGCCGGCGTTTGCGGTGCGGCTGCGGGGCGTTTGCGGAGCAGTAACACCACTCAAACTGCATTATAGGCGTTTGTGGGGCGTTATTAATGCTCGGCAAACGCCTAGCAACCGACGCTCCGCATCGCCGGACCAATGCTTGCCAAACGCTATAGGGGCGTTTGGCAAGCGTTGGTAAAACAGCCAAGTGTGAACAAGCCCTTAGAGGCAGAAAAAAAGTGCCAGACATCCCTTACAGCAGCGTTAAAAACATCCAGTGTGCATGAGGCCTAAATCGCATCAGGAATATTGAACTGTGCTGGTTTGTGTACACTTTTACCATGATCCTGTTGGAAAATTACTCTTCCATCCCTCATTTCTCAAGAGGTGTGACAGGATGGGAAAGAAATCACCTTTATGACAACTGTTACTATACAGTAGTCTCTATTACAGTTCTTCCCCTGACCTAATGTTTCTGACAATAGTGTAAAAGTTAGGTTTTCCCTCATTTTCTGCAGGTTTTGCCTGCAGTTAGGCGTTAACTATTCATAGATCGCATTTGTATAAACTGCAGTGTGAATAGAACCTGTCAATTTAGCTGGTATTTGTGGTACCACCAAATAAAGTTTAAAGAAATATGCACAATTCCCTGACTTCCCAGTAAACTTACGGAGTTAAATCACATCATAAATACTGAATCATGCAAGTTTTTGTACATTTGCTTATTTTTCTCCATGATCCTGTTCTCCAGCCCTTTCTTTCTCAGAGGCGTGATAGGATGGGAAGGAAAAAAAAAATATAGATACTTATGACAGCTGTTTTCACACAGTAATCCCTATTACAGTTCTTCCACTTATATTGTAGAAATCAAATTAGAACATGGTAATGTAAATTTTACATTTCATCACATTTTCATATTTTACGTTTTAAAGTGATGTGTAGAAGTGATGCAAGAAGTGCAGCATGGGGGCTATCAGGGGGTATCTGACTACTTGGCCTCAATAGACTTTCGGTGTTCAAGCACTGAAAGCCTAAATTTTGCTTTCCTGAGTGGGTACTTAAGATCAAATGAAACAGTATTTTTACGTTTTCCTCATACCTCTTTATTGTTTGTCCAGTGGAAGTACTGTCTAAATGCTTCTTCAAACTTCTCATTTGGCAAGGATAAGAAATATGAATGCACAGCTTCACATAGGGGCCCAAACTGCCTGACACTTTCAAAATAATCCAGCCCTTTTCCTAAGGGAAAAGATTAAAAATTGGAAGCAAGTTACCAAAATAATGTAACTACAGAAAAACAGGGGCATTACTGTCAGTCAAAAAGAAACTAGTATTCAGAAAGTTAATAAACGGATAATAGAAAATGATTGCTAAGTAATATACAACAATGCTAGTCATTTTGCTAGGCACTAAACAATGTAAAGAGAGTAATGGGAATTTCATTTTTTTTCTTCTTAAATTAGAGATATTCATAGAATTTGGAAATGTACTAAAAGTACTGTATTTTTCGCTCCATAAGACACACCTGACCATAACACGCGCCTAGGTTTTAGAGGAGAAAAACAAGAAAAAAAATATTCTGAACCAATGGACTGCAGACACAGTACAGGGAAAGACCAGAGCCTGCGGACACAGTACAGGGGATGACCAGAGCCTGCGGACACAGTACAGGGGATGACCAGAGCCTGCGGACACAGTACAGGGGATGACCAGAGCCTGCGGACACAGTACAGGGGATGACCAGGAGCCTGCGGACACAGTACAGGGGATGACCAGAGCCTGCGGACACAGTACAGGGGATGACCGGAGCCTGCGGACACAGTACAGGGGATGACCGAGCCTGCGGACACAGTACAGGGGATGACCGGAGCCTGCGGACACAGTACAGGGGATGACCGGAGCCTGCGGACACAGTACAGGGGATGACCGGAGCCTGCGGACACAGTACAGGGGATGACCGGAGCCTGCGGACACACAGTACAGGGGATGACCGGAGCCTGCGGACACAGTACAGGGGATGACCGGAGCCTGCGGACACAGTACAGGGGATGACCGGAGACTGCGGACACAGTACAGGGGATGACCGGAGACTGCGGACACAGTACAGGAGATGACCTGAGACTGCGGACACAGTACAGGAGATGACCGGAGACTGCGGACACAGTACAGGAGATGACCGGAGACTGCGGACACAGTACAGGAGATGACCGGAGACTGCGGACACAGTACAGGAGATGACCGGAGACTGCGGACACAGTACAGGAGATGACCGGAGACTGCGGACACAGTACAGGAGATGACCGGAGACTGCGGACACAGTACAGGAGATGACCGGAGACTGCGGACACAGTACAGGAGATGACCGGAGACTGCGGACACAGTACAGGAGATGACCGGAGACTGCGGACACAGTACAGGGGATGACCGGAGACTGCGGACACAGTACAGGGGATGACCAGAGCCTGCGGACACAGTACAGGGGATGACCAGGGAGCTGCGGACACAGTACAGGGAATGACCAGGGACTGCGGACACAGTACAGGGAATGACCAGGGACTGCGGACACAGTACAGGGAATGACCAGAGACTGCGGACACAGTACAGGGAATGACCAGGGACTGCGGACATAGTACAGGGAATGACCAGGGACTGCGGACACAGTACAGGGAATGACCAGGGACTGCGGACACAGTACAGGAGATGACCAGGGACTGCGGACACAGTACAGGGAATGACCAGAGACTGCGGACATAGTACAGGAGATGACCAGAGCCTGCGGACACAGTACAGGAGATGACCAGAGACTGCGGACACAGTACAGGAGATGACCAGAGACTGCAGACACAGTACAGGGAATGACCAGAGACTGTGGACATAGTACAGGACGACCAGAGACTGCGGACACAGTACAGGAGATGACCAGAGACTGCGGACATAGTACAGGGGATGACCAGAGACTGCGGACATAGTACAGGGAATGACCAGAGACTGTGGACATAGTACAGATGACCAGAGACTGCAGACAGTGCAGGGGATGACCAGAGACTGCGGACCTTTGGGGAGGGAGGGGGAACGGGTACCTGAATTTGACAGGTACCCGCTCCTACTTCCGCGGAGTTGTCGCGGCAGCTTCTGTGACAGGGGTAATAAGGCTGCCTTTGTGATGGCCCGGAGGGGACCTGTCATGTGTCCCAGAAGAGCTGCGCAACGCTTCTTCGCGCATGCGCAGGGGGAACGGCTGTCACCCGCAGGAAGGCTGCACGCTGGAGCGAGGAACAGGTAAGGTCCTATAGGACAGAAGAGCTGAGCGGCCGGCACAATATTCTGACATGGTGGCGGCAGAAATACCGGACCGGCCGCTTTACATTCGCTCCATAAGACGCACTGACATTTCCCCCCCTTTTTTTGGGGGAAAAAAGTGCGTCTTATGGAGTGAAAAATACGGTAATTGTAAAGGCTCAAGGTTTTTTACCTTCATGCATTTAGGCATGTACCCAAAGAACCCCCAGTGGGACTTTAATGCAGCAATAGGATCAGACATATTGAAAAAGACATTTGGTTAAAAAAGATTATCAACTTTATTATACACACATTTCCATTGTAATTTTAAATACATGATTTCTAAAAAGAATATTGCTCTGACAGTATTCTTACAAGAAAACTCTTAAAACAAAAATATGAAACCACAAGAAAAGAGAGAAAAAAAAACCCAATGCGTTTCGATCATTCCATATTCTAGATCTTCCTCATGGGGCAGGAGCACCAATATATTTTGTCTGCTAACATGCAGACTCCAACAGGACAGCAAAGGTAAGTGTAAGGCCCATTTCACATGAAGGTTCTGACAGATCAGGTCTGCATGTCAGATTTTCAGGCGGACGTAATTGGACGATCCATTCGCCCCTGTGCACGGTGGGTGTAAGCAGACTTGGGTTCACTTACACCTGCCTACCTCCAACTCGGTCCATTACAAAAAAAAAAAAGGGGGAAGTGGATCTGTCCTCCTCCGTATAGGCAGAGCAGATTGGAAGGCAGTTGGGTGTAAACAGACAGTGGAATCAGTTTACACCCGGTCAGCCACAGACCAGAGCATGCTCAGTTTATGCAGAGCACACACAAAACCTGTCACTGGTCTGGTCTGGTCTGCTCTGCTCTGATCAGCAGGGGATCAGAAGACTGCTGATCAAAACAGGGTCCTCCCCATGTGAAAGGGGCCTTAGGAGTGTTTCAAAATGCTCATCTGTTTTTAGGTAATCATGTGAAAATACAACTCACCTGAAGGTGCATAACACACTTTGCTAGATATTGCATCCCAGCACACTTGATTGTCCTTGTCCACAATATCTAAAATCTCTATACTATCCTTGATCTCACACCCAAGCTGACACACCATCTTGTGCACTGCTGGAGACAGGCATGTGGTGAGCATCTGCACAGAAAAACAAAATTAAACATATAATGTTAATGTTTCATGCACAATGACCTATTGTTACTTGGACAAGCATTGAATAACCTTTAAAAGACAGAGAAAAGTAACCATCTTTTTCAGTCATTTTGATCTGGCTCATGTTTTGAAAAGTTGGAGAACATTCTCAATAAAATATGTTATGGCTGTCGCTTCACTTTATGGTCAAAAGTATGTGGGCACCGCTTTAAATGATTCAGTTTGTTTCCAGTGAAGGTACTATTATAGTGACATTAGATTCTACATAATGGAGCATGGAGCAGAGGCTGACAGAATTTTTTTTTTTTTTCCAAAAAAAAAAAAAAGAAAGAAAAATAATAATTCTCACCTAGGTGGATGCAGCATTGATCTCCGTCCCCCGCTACCTCTACACTGAGAAATAAGTAATCAAACACTGCTGATCGCTCAGTTCTTCCCTCTGCTCTGAGCAAAAAGCTATGACTGTCAGTCACCAGCTCTCTGCTCTGCCACTCAAACTCCCACTGGAGCACTGAACTGTAAAGGGAGTGGGAGTGGCTGGCTAAGTCTCCCAGCAGATCTCAGAGAGGCTGGTCCAGGCTGCTGGGTGGATCCCAACTGTAAAGTCGGGATCGATCCAGTGCCTTGACCAGCTGAGTGACGTCAGCTGACAGTTCAGTTCTGCACTCCTGTGATCCATAAAAGTATATCCAAAAAGCTTTGGTCATACTTTACATTTTACTTTAATGTGTTATTTTCACCCCCAACAATGGTGGGCCCAATCCCTATTACCCATGCAGCTAACACACTCCTAAAATGGAACTTCACCCAAAAGGGGAAGTTCCACTTCAAGTCCTCCTCCCCTTTTGGCATGTAAATTTTTTTTTTCAGGGTGGAACCTAGTTTTGACAGGTGGGCAGCCAGGTAGTTTGGACAGTGTGAAGTAGTGGGCAGCTGAGTGTGAAGACGAAAGAAGCATAGCTGGATGCCAAAAGTTAGGATGCCAGGATTACAAGATTTGTAGATGACTTATTTTTCCCAAAGTAAAGAATCATTTCAATATTTTAAAAAACATTGGATGTATTATCTACAGTCATGGCCGAAAATATTGGCACCCCTGCATTTCTGCCAGATAATGCACCACTTCGCCCAGAAAATTGTTGCAATTGCAAATGTTTACACCCTGGTCACATCAAAGCCGATTTTGAAATCATGCGACTTACAGTGAAGTCGCATGATTTCACAATCGGGTGACTTGCCGATTTCATTGCGATTTGCAAGACATCTGACACAGTGCATGCATTACTTTAGAAATTGGTGCATCTCCGACCAAGTCAGAACCGCACCTATATGACTGCTCTAATAGCGGACAATAGGGTGCGACTTGGCATACGATTTGCAAATCGCCTGGCATGCAAACTGCATGCCAAGTCACACCCGATGTGACCAGGGGCTTAGGCATTCTCATGTTTATTTCTTTTGTTTGTATTGATATGACACAAAAATGTGGAGAAACAAAAAGCCAAATCTGACACATTTCACGCAAAACCCCAAAATGGACTGGCCCCCTCAGTTTAAACCCTTGACGCCGACGTAACACAAATATGCGGCCTCACGGACCTGGGCTTTTTTCCGTGGGGCCGCATATTTGCGTACCTGTCTTTGTGCTGGGAGCACGCCACTCGGCGCGCTCCCAGCACCAAGACCGCGGTGTCACTGAGAGCCCCGGGTCCCGTTCTAACGATCGGGACCCGGGACTCCCGATTCCGGGTCACGTGATCGCTGTGATAGCCTCTGATTGGCTATCACAGTGATCAATCACTGTGCAGCCCGGCCCCCTTGTTTTCTCTCTCTCTATGAATGGAGAAGAGAGATACATTGTATCTCTCGAACTCCTGACACAGAGAGAGAAAAAAAAAGTTTGTAAAAAAAAAAAAAAGATAAATAAAAAGATAAAAAAATACCTAGATCAAGGTTTGATCTAGTTCAGTACCAGGGTTAGTGTTTGGGTCAAGGTCAGGGGCAAAGGTCAGGATTTTTTAAAAAAAAAATTGGTATCAGTGTCAGTTAGTGTTAATGTCAATGTCAGTGACAGTGTGTTTTATATAAAAAAAAAAAAAAGACAAAAACAAAATGCGCACTGTTGTTTCTGGACTGTACTACGGGTACAAACAACAAATAACATACACATATATGGTATCGCTGCGATCGTCAAGAACTGGAGAATGTATTTTGAGTTGTTCTTTGGTGGTAGGTTATGGTCGTAACAAGAAACACACAGTTAAATTTAAAAAAAATGATTTTTTTTTACTATTTTGGCCCAGTTTTCCTTTAATAATAAAAAAAAATTAGGAGCTATCCATGACCATTTACCACCAAATGAAAGCCCAATTTGTCCTGAAAAAAACAAGGTATAATCCACCTGGATGTACAAAGTAGTTGTGACGATATGTACGGTTTTACTAACACGTCAACGTTGCAGAATTGTGCTTAGGCATTTAGATTTGTTTTACCCTTAGGCGTGAAGGGGTTAATATTTGGTAGCACACCCCTTAGGAAAAAAATCAATCACTTCCTGTAACTATCAATGAGTTTCTTTCTCCAACTGCTCCAGGTCTCTCACATTGGAAGGGTTCCTTTTCCCTACTGTTGTTTTGAGATCTCTCCACAGGTGCTCTATGGGACTGAGATCTCGACTCATTGTTGGCCAGTTCACTACCCTCCAGCACTTTATCTTAAACTATTTCTGGGTCATTGTCCTGCTGTAAGACCCATGACCTCTGACGGAGACCTTCTGACAGTGGGCCCTACATTGCACCCCACAATTCTCTGGTCTTCAGATTTCTTAATGCCATGCACACAGTCAAGACATCCAGTGTCTTTTTCACACCACATTTTCTGCGTTTGAATGTGTTTCTGCATGAACATATAGATATGTTTTTCATGCTTTTGCTACATTTTTTATGTGTTTTTGATGCATTCCAGTGTTTTGTTTTTTTTTTTTTTCATTTATCTTAACCACTACAATACCAGAGCACTTTTACCCTTCTTGCATGGTCATGCAACGCTGTACCCATATGAAATATTTGTCATTTTTTTCCACACAAATAGAGCTTTGTTTTGGTGGTATTTAATCTGTGTTAATTTTTTGCTAAAAAACACTAAACAAAAGACAGAAAATATTGAAAAAAAAAGTTTTTCTTCATTTCTGTCATAACATTTCACAAATATTATTTCTTTATAAATTTTGGCCAAAATGTATTCTTTCTACCTTTTTTTTGGTAAAAATAACCCAAGTCAGTGTATATTATTTAGTCTGTAGGAAAGTTATAGAGTCCAGAAACTACGGTGTAAAATCGATAATCGATCAATCCTGATGTACTGATGGCCTATCTCATATCTTGAGGCCCAAAAATGCCAGGACAGTACAAATGACCCCTTTTTAGAAAATAGAAAGTCCAAGGTGTTTAGTAAGAGGCATTGTCTATACAAATTGCAACAAAAGTAGTGCATGCACTACATTAGAAATCGGTGCGGCTCCAACCAAGTCGGAATCGCACCAATATGACCGCTTTAATAGCGGACAAAAGGGTGCGACCTGGCATACGATTTGCAAACCACATGCCAAGTCAACACCTGATGTGACCGGGGTGTAATGAATGCATCAGTGTCTTAACATCTGCGATTTGCTGCAGTGCGATTTCTAAAGTAGTTCTTGCATTTCTTTTTCTACAGTTTTCCTGCAATTTCACATACATAGAATATAATGGAAATCGCACTGCAAATTGTAAGAAATCATTAAAATTCTTCACAAGTAGCAAATCTTCAGAAATCGCACCTGAAATCGTGCTGAAATTGCACACAAACCGCGTGTTTTTACATCTCAGCAGTGTGACGGGTGACTAAAAGTGAAAGCTCCGCTTATTTGCCTACTACCCCCCCTCCACTGCCATATTTGGCACCCTGTGGGGGGGAGCGGATATCTTGTTTTGGCAGGTACCCACTCCCACTTACGGCTCAGTTCACTGAGGCGCAGCGCGACTCGTGCAGTGGACACACAGCTACGAAGCCGCAAGCTGTCAGTCTGATGCCCACAGTTGAGATGCTGGCGCCATAGTTGGGAGAAGGGACGGGGAGAATATTGCTGGACTCTGGGACAGGTGTGTGTGTTTATTAAAAGTCAGCAGCTACAGTTGTTATAGCTGCTGACTTTAATAAACACAAAAACGTCTGGAACTCCGCTTTAAGTGCCCGGTCATACCAGTGCGGTTTGCTCATTGAAATCGCATCTAATGAATGTGAATGTCAGTGCTTTAACATGTGCGATTTGCTGCAGCACAATTTCTAAAGTAGTTTTTGCATTAATTTTTCTGCAGTTTTGCTGCGATTTCACATACATAGAATATAATGGAAATCACACTGCGAATTGCAAGAAATCATTGAAAATCTTCCCAAATAGCAATAGTCTTCAGAAATCGCACCTGAAATCGTGCTGAAATTGCACACAAACCACATGATTTTAAATCTCAGCAGTGTGATGGGTGACTTAAAGCGGAGTTCCACTCAAAAGCAAAAGCTCCACTTATTTGCCTCCTCCCCCCCCTCTACTGTCATATTTAGCACCTTATGGGGGGGGGGGGGGGATAAGCAGATACCTTGTTTCGACAGGTACCCACTCCCACTTCCGGCTCAGTTCACTGCAGTGAAGTGAGCCGGAAGTTTGCCCCCTCCTCCCTCTGCAGTCTCCTGGGAACTTTCACAGGTCCCAGAAGACTGCCAGACCAATCAGGAGGTGCAGCGCGACTCGCACATGCGAAGTGGGCTCCCGGCTAGTCACAGCCTAGTGCCCACAGTTGAGATGCCGGCGCCGTGGAGGAGAGAAGGGAAGAAGGGACGGGGAGAATATTGCAGGACTCTGGGACAGGTAAGTGTGTGTTAATTAAAAGTCAGCAGCTACAGTTGTTATAGCTGCTGACTTTTAATAATCACAAAATTGGCTGCAACTCCACTTTAAGTGGAAACAGAAACAATATCTCCTGCGCTCCACAACTCAGAGCAAGGGTGGAAGGATGGAAAAAAAAATTCGATAAAATTCGACCACCAATGCACAGAAGGTTGTGCAGCTATAAACAAGGCTGGGGAAGCCTGACCAGTACTGTAAAGTGAAACAAAAAAGTGCACCAACCTTGCGCATTACCTCAGTGATTTTATTAACCACTTGCCGCCCAGCCACCGCATATAAACGGCGGCAGGGCGGCACTCGTAGGCAAAAGCACGTTTTAAAACGACTGCCTTCAAAACAGGTAGGGGGCGCGCGCGAGGCGCGCCTGCCCTACCTGTCCCGCGGGTGTCAGCCGCCGGGTCACGGCCGTTTTTTACCGGCGGTTTTCCCGCAATTGACGGTGATCGCTGACACAGAGCAGGGCTGCATTGTTTACACACAGCCCTGTTCTGTGTCAGTTCTCTAACAGCTTGTGAGAAGCTGCAGAGTTTCTCTCCCTCGATCAGCTCCCCCCCCCCCTCCCCCCGTCCAGTACACACCCCCGCCCCCTAGTAAAACACTCCACTTACACAGCAAATTCTAAAAATGTTAACCCCTTCCTCCCCAGTGACATTAGTACAGTTTCAGTGTTTTTTTTTTCACTGATCACTGTATTGGTGTCACTGGGGATGTCAGTGACCCCAAGTCAGTTCCCCCCCAAGTGTCAAAATGTCCGCCGCAGTCCCGCCATAAGTCGCTGGTCGCCGCCATATGTCGCTGATCGGCGCCATTATTAGTATAAATAAAAATTAAAAATTCCAGTATCTTTCCCGCCATTTGTAAACGCTATAACTTTCACGTAAACCAATTAATTTACACGTATTGGGATTTTTTTTTAGCAAAGACATGTCGCAGAATGCATTTTGGCAGAAATTTATGACTAAATTTGATTTTTGCATTTTTTTTTTTACTGGACATGTTTTATAGCAAAAAGTCCAAAATATTGTTTTTTTTTATAGCGCAAAAAATAAAAACCGCACAGGCGATCAAATACCACCGAAAGAAAGCTCAATTTGTGGGGAAAAAAAAGATGTAAATTTCATTTATGTACTGTATTGCATGACCGCGCAATTGTCCGTTAAACTAGCGCAGCGCTGTATAGCAGAAAAATGTCGTAAATTGCAGTATCTATACCAGGGGTGGGCAAACTTTTTGACTTGAGGGCCGCAATGGGTTCATATATTGGACCCGGGGGCCGGACCAAGAGTAGATGAATGATGTGTATGTGTCATCCATAGTAAGTATAGTAATATTCCCCCATAGTAAGCATAGTAATTCATCCCCCCTATAGTAATTCATCCCCCCCCATAGTAATTCATCCCCCATATAGTAATTCATCCCCCATATAGTAATTCATCCCCCCTATAGTAATTCATCCCCCCCATATAGTAATTCATCCCCCCTATAGTAATTCATCCCCATAGTAATTCATCCCCCATATAGTAATTCATCCCCCCCATAGTAATTCATCCCCCACATAGTAATTCATCCCCCCTATAGTAATTCATTCCCCATATTAAGTCCCCAAGTCACCCCCTGTGTGAATTCACTTACCTTTGCTCCGCGCGTTCCTCTCGCCGTGTTCCCGCGCCGTTCCAGTGTATCATGAAAATCTGTCTCCTATGAGGATCTGTCCCCCTCGACGTATCTGCGCATGTGCCAGTTTCAGGCATTAGCAGCCGATTGGCAATCTCCGGCACATGCGCAGATACGTCGAGGGGGACAGATCCTCATAGGAGACAGATTTTCATGCTACACCGGTCTTCAGGGCGGACTGTGAGAGGAGCCTAGCGGGAGCCTAGCTCCGCGGGCCGGATTAAAAGGTCCGCCGGGCCGTAGTTTGCCCATTGCTGATCTATACCATAGTTTGTAGACGCTATAACTTCCACACAAAGCAATCAAATATACACTTATTGGGATTTTTTTTACCACAAACATGTAGCAGAATACATTTTGGCCTAAATTTATAACCAACTTAAAAGAAAGTAAAAAATATTGTTTTTCTTCAAAATTTTTGGCCTTTTTTTGTTTATAGCGTGAAAATTTTCAAATTACACCGAAAGAAGGCCTTTTTTGTGGCGTAAATTTCGTTTGGGTGCAGCATTGCATGATCGCGCAGTTATCAGTTGAATTGGTGCAGCGCCGAGTAGCAAAAAGAGGCCTGGTCATTAAGGGGGGTAAATCCTCTGGAGGTCAAGTGGTTAAATAGAGACTAATACTCACAAAGAAGTATAACAAGCGCATAAGGTCCTCAACCGGACTTAGGAGTGTAGAACCCGTGCGAGTCACATCACAAGGGTAGACTCTCAAAGTAAGGCTGACGCGTTTCGAAGGGGGTCCCTTCATCATCAGAGCTCTTTGTTTGTGATTATTATTCTCTGTTTAATAAAATCACATTTTACTGAGGTAATGCGCAAGGTTGGTGCGCTTTTTGTTTCACTTTGCGTGCCCAGTCATATCAGTGCGGTTTGCTCATTGAAATTTCAATTTCGGGGAATTGTAAAACGCCGTCAATTTACGCAGCGCTTTACATATATATTGTACATTCACATCAGTCGCTGACCCTCAAGGGGTGTACAATCTATGGTGAAATCACATCTAGTGAACGTCAGTGCTTTACCATGTGCGATTTGCTGCAGCACAATTTCTAAAGTAGTTCTTGCATGACCTTTTCTGCAGTTTTGTTGCGATTTCACATCCATAGAACGCAATGGAAATCACACTGCAAATTGCAAGAAATCGTTGAAAATCTTCACAAGTAGCAATAAAGTCTTCAGAAAGAAGATCAGTGCCATCAGTCAGTGCCGCCTATCAGTGCCATCAGTCAGTGCCGCCTATCAGTGCCATCAGTCAGTGCCATCAGTCAGTGCCGCCTATCAGTGCCATCAGTCAGTGCCGCCTATCAGTGCGCATCATTCAGAAAATCGTGCTGAAACGGCACACAAATCGCAGCAGTGTGACCGGTGAGTAACTGGAATTTCCAGGTATGCTGGTCAACTGAGCAGACATGTCATTCCACCCATGTAAGCTGAAGACACAAGCCAGCATGAATTCAGCTCTTACAGCCGCCTGTGCTGTGAAGGAAGGATGTTAGTTACCATTATAGAGCCTCCTCTTCCTACACTGAGAGCTGCACGTTTTATCCCATGTCTCAGAACAGACTCTGCGGACACCGGGAACACACCTCCAGCGCTGGGACTTCCGGTGCAACCGGCTCTGTGGCACCGCGCATGCTCACATTGGAAACCACCCACCTGAGGAAAAGATATGTGTTCCAATGTTCCTTCTGCCGTTGGAATGGTTCTCGGGAAACCCGTGGGCTCTATACCCTTTAGTTGTGGTTATGCGGTTATGAAAACGGTGTAAATAACATAAAAGTAATCGCTTCATAAAGAGGCGCCTGGTTGTCAGGACTTCCGTGCGTTCCAGCTATTGCAATATGTGAAATGGCGGGGCGGAGAAGGAGCACATAGACCGCTGAGGGGAATCATGTACTTCTCTGGAAAGACCATTAGGGGGCAGCACGTTCTAATTGGTTATGCAGTTGCTGTGTATAGGTGCAGGATAAGCGAGTTGGGCATTAAGGAGGCTCCTCTTTCTCTCTGGATTGTACAATACAGGGGCAGACTGACAACTCATGGGGCCCCCGGGCAATAGGGGATCATGGGGCTCCTGTGTCCTTGCCCAAACTCAAAAAAGCCTGTGAAAAAGGTACCAGGGGCATCTCGTGGGGCCCCCTACTGATCCCGGGCTCTCGAGCAGTGCCCGAGTTTGAAATTGGAGCTTTTCTAGTTATTATTATACAGGATTTATATAGCGCCAACAGTTTGCTCAGCACTTTACCATATAAAGGGAGACAATACAGTTCAATACAAGAGGGTTAGGAGGGTCCTGCTCCCTGGAGCTTACAATCTAATGGTATTAACCACTTGTGTACTGGGCACTTATACCCCCTTCCTGCCCAGGCCAATCTCCAGCTTTTGTGTTCCAGATGCAGGAAAAAAAAGAACAGGCTGCATTTTTTCTGCACAGAACTGTACTAGAGTATAGTAAAACTCATCAAAAATGCACTGGAACGCATATGTCCCTATTTAAATTAAAGAAAAAATGAACTGGAACATGTCAAAAACGCACCGGAACCATGAAAAACGCACATGCAGAAACGTATCTGGACTGTTCTATAGTGTGAACTGACCCTAAGTGCAGCCAGAGGCTTCTTCCATTTGGGCCAGGTTCACACACTTTTTTTTTGCGTTTTGCAGGAATGCACTGCATGCCATTTATCATGATTTCCTATGGATCACATTCACATCTATGCATTTTTTGCGGGCGCGTTTTTTTTGGAAAGAGTCAAGGACTTCTTTCCCCACAGCAATTTGTGTTTTTTAGTCCAATAGACTTCAGAAACGGAAAATGCAAACTGCATAGGTGTAAACCTAGCCTAACTGTTGGTAAAAAGTTCACTGATTGGAAATGAGAAATCTCTCCAATTTATAGAGGATCTTCAGCCTGTTTGCAAAAAAATTAAAAAGTCATTAGCTACGAATACTGTAGCTGCTGACTTAATAAAAAGGACTAACCTGTCCAGGAATCCAGCACAGTCCTCATCTGGGCCAGTTCTTCGCTGGTCTTCAGGTCCCCGGTATGTTTAGTGTGGGGTGGCGGTTGTAACTCCTTGCAGCTTTACAGCTGCCTTCCCTCTATGCATGTGTGAGCCGTGCTGCACTTTGCGAATGGTCCCACAGCATCATAGGACCTGTGACGTGCCCCAAGAGGTTGTGGACAGGGAGGGGGCAGAACTTCCAATGGAATCACTAAGACAATCTAACCAGAAGAGGGGTACCTACCAAAACTAGGTACCTGCTACACCCCCCCCCCCCCCAAAAAAAAAAGGACATAAAGCAGAACTTTAGGGTGAAGTTTCACTTTAAAAGAAACAAATTGTCCCTTAAATATAAAGGAGCAGGTAACCCTTGCAGTGCCGGTGCAGCCCAGCCACAAGGGAGGGTTTTTAGGTTTCCTGGAGTACGGCTTTAACCGCTAGACCTCTGGAAGGTTTTACCCCTTTCATAACCAGGGCATTTTTTTGCTTTTCAGCACTGTGCTACTTCAACTGACAGTTGCTCAGTCATGCAATGTTGTACCCAAATTAAATTTATGTTTTTTTTGTTTTTCACACAAAGAAAACAAATTTTTTCTTTTGGTGGTATTGGATCACCACTGGGTTTTTATTTGCTATTGTAGCAATGAAAAAGAACCAAAGATTTTGGGGAAAAAATATTTTCTACTTTCTGTTATAAAACATAAACAGTAAAATTAAATTTCTTCATAAATTTAGGCCAAAATGTATTCTGCTACATGGCTTCGTTAAAAAAATCCCAATAATGTACACATATTAATTGGTTTTGTTAGTTATACAAACTATGGTATATATACTGGAATTTACGCAGCTATAGACACTGTATTAGTAACGATCAGCAACTTATAGTGTGACTGTGATAGTGTGCAATCTGGTGCTGACACTGGCTGGGATGGGCACTGACAGTGACGTCACTATTGACACCAATACAGTGATCCGTAATAATACTGTACACTGTATTAATGACAGGGGTGATCAGAAGGGCAATCAAGGGGTTAACTGTGTGCCTAACAGTGTATGTGTGAACTCACAGGATCTGACTATATTTTCTCCCTGAGTTGATTTCAGGGAGAAGAAACAGCCAGATTGCTTGTTCTCTTTTCAGTGTTCTGTGTGTTTGCAAACACAGAACTGTGTGCTGTGACTGATCACAGCTGATCAGCTGGTGTACAGCCAAAATCATTGGCTGTAACTTGCTGACAGACTTGTGTTATGGCCAATCAGCAGGGGTCGCACGCAGTGAGCCCGAAAACCAGGAAGTGGTGATGTAAATGTACTGTGGGCGCGGGTGGCAAGTGGTTAAAAAGTGTATCTACAGCAACAGTGGGAGAGTGGAAGGGTCTTTTCACAGGGGCGTTCTGTTTTTTTCATCAGTTCATTTATGTATTTTCAAAGAAAAAATGGATCAGTATCCATCAATTTTTTCATCAGGTTACATCAGTTTTTTTCATGCATTTTTCATCCATTACATCTGTTTTTCATCTGTATACCATCCGTTTACATCATTTTTCATTTGTTTACATACGTTTTTTGTCTGTTTTTTTTATAGAAGAAAAAAAGGCTTTTCTTCTGTTCAAAAAATCTAATATCAACGTATACGGACATTAACGGATGATCATCCATCTACATCCACTAATCCGTAGAAATACTTGGGTGTCTGTTTTTCATCCATAACAGAAATCCACCTTGGGGGGGGCTCGCAATAAACTGTGGCTCGTTTATTGCGCGTCCCCCCCCCCCAAGGTCGCTTTCTGTTACTCCGTACTTACCCTACCCCCAAGAGTGGTCCCCCTGCTGGTTGGATGTGCATGCCTGGATAGTGACGATGTGCTGATTTACCTGTCTTGCTGAGGTTTGCCAGATGATCCCCTGAGTTACCTATCCAGATGACCAGGAGTGGTCTGATTTACTCAAATGTGCATTATATTGCGCTTTCTGGTTAGTGCAATATACATTCATTTTTAGCCACTGGAGTCACAGAATTCACCTGACGTTTTTTATTGGACTTGGAATCTATATATTATATTTGCATGACTTTTGCACTTTAAACGTCAGTACCAAGACGTTATTCACATTAATGGATATAGCCCTCCCCAGCGTATGTATTTATGATAACTACACCATATATAACAGTTTGATAGATTGATATTTATATCTTATACAAGCGCTGCATTTATATGTTTACAGGTATACTTTAACCACTTGCCCTCCAGAGGATCCCCCCCCCCCCCCTTCCTGACCAAGCAATTGTTTGCATTATGGCGCTGCGTTATTTTAACTGACAATTGCGCGGTCATGCAACACTGCACCCAAATGAAATTTATGTCCTTTTTTCCCACGAATTGAGCTTTCTTTCGGTGGTATTTGATCGCCTGTGTGGTTTTTATTTTTTGCACTATTAAAAAAAAAAATTTTTGAGAAAAAAAAAAAAACTTTTTGCTATTAAACTAGGCCAAAATTTATTCGGCTACATGTTTTTGCTAAAAAAAAATCCCAATACATGTAAATTAATTGGTTTCCATGAAAGTTATAGTGTTTACAAATAGCGATATACATACTGGGATTTTTTTTTTCTATTTTTACTAGTAATGGCAGCAATCAGCAACTTAGAGCAGGACTGTGGCGGGCATTCCGACACTAGGGGGAAATGACTTGGTGTCACTGACATCCCCAGTGACACCAATACAGTGATCAGTGCTAATAACAAGCACTGACACGGTATTAATGGCAATGGGCAGGAAGGGGTTAACATGTGGGGCAATCAATGGGTTAACTGTGTGCTGTTTTACTGTGGGGCTGTGTGTTAGTGCTTTAATGTAAGCACACTGCTTTGCATGGCTGAGCACAGCCATGCAAAGCACTGTACAGGAGCTGACAGGGAGAACTGTTTACAAACAGTTCTCCCCTCCATCGGAGATGCTCGGCAATCACCGGGACCCGGTGATTGACAGCCGCTGCCGTGAATAGTGGCGCAATGCAAAATCACTTGTGTGTGTATATATATATATATATATATATATATATCACTGAGCTGCCAATGTTTCTGTGCTGAGAGTGTGCTTACTGCACTCTTAGCACAGATACCAAACTGTCAAAGTCGGCTCTCGGTCCAGACTAATGAATCAGTAGTGGCGGGACCAGATCATGTGACGACTGTATCAGCCATTCACAGTGGGCACATGTTTGCTGATCCTTCCTGCCCTCCACACATTCAGAACTTTAAAGGGATGCATTCTGGCTGCTATATCTGGAACTGTGTATACATTTGTTCAGCTGGTGACGGCCTTTCAGTCGCCTGGTCTCTCTCCTCTCAGCCTGACTGACCCTGCCATGTATCCCAGGCTCTGCTGTCCAACCAGCTGAGTATTTCTGCCTCTTATTGATTTTATCTAGTGATGGGCCAAACAACCCCGTTCGGTTCGCAGTCGAACATTCGAACCTAACAAAAGTTCAACCGTGAACTTTGAACCAGGACAATTCACTAAGCGGTATCTTACCGCACAGCATTTAAAAAAAAAAAAAAACTACTAAAATACCACG